AAAAAAAAAGGAAATGAAAATCTTTTTTAGTGTAAGAAGTGAAAAAGAAATTCCTTCATTTTAATAAGAAATAGAGAGGAGCATTGAAAAAGTCTTATTCATTCTGCTTTTTGCTTTTTCATTTTAATTATGATTTGCGACTAGTTGATCGAGTTGATCGAGTTGGTCGAGTTGGTTGAGTTGGTTTTTTCGTTGGTCGAGCTGTTTTTTTTGTTGGTGGAGCATTTTCATTATCTGATGCTTGTTCATCAACTAGCTGATCTGCCTTTCTTTTATGATTGATTTGCGGATCAATTGACATTGGTTCTGCCTGAATTATTTGAGCCACATTTATCATTTCTGTAGGACTATCTTGTTTCTTGTCAATAAATAAATTCTCGTCATCTTGTTCAGTTTCTTTATTTAATGGTGGATCAACATTTTCTATTTCTTCAAGACGATCGATTGGTGATGATGAAGATTTATCTTGAAGTTCAATGTTGTATTCTTTACAAAATTTTCGAATACAATTTGACTGATGTTGCTTCTCATTTAAGAAATAGACATATAAAAATCTTATGGCTGTACGATGTGGATGAAATTTGAGATTCATAATGCAATATAGACTGACAATTATACCAAGAGACTGTTCAATAGATGAAGATGAACAAACACATGTCCAATCAAGATAAACTTTTATACCATCATCTTCAATTACTATTGATGGTTGAGGAGTAACTGGCTTCTAAAAAATAACGAAAGGAAAGTTAAAATAAGAGATACTTAATGAGAAAAAAAGGAAAAAGGTGCTAAATTATCCAACAGATATTTATATTTTGGAAATGTAAGAGAAAAGTTATTGTCAATGAGAAGATAGAAATTAAAGTCAATAAACTGACATACATTATTTTTATTGTTTAAGAGAGATGCACCTGAGTAAATAATACTAAAACTTAATTGAGAATAACCTTTCACTCGAATAAATTTTCAATAAAACAATAATTCTAGTGATAGTGATTGAATACATCAGCGGATAAATACAAAATAAGTTTAACTGACTATTAAGTCCTCGAATCGCTTTAGCAAGGTTGAATATTAAAAAAAAAGAAAAGTCGGAGAATATTATGTATATCCCCATAGCCTATTATGTTTGAAAGAACTCTCAGTGAATTTTTAAAAAAGTTACTTCTGGATGAAAATAAATATAGTGTTTCCATGAATCATTTAATAGACCACACAATACTTTAAAACAACGAATGCTTGAACTATCTAAATAAAAAAATATATAATAGTTGCAAATATGCTAATTTAAAATTACCTGTTATATATTGATTACCAGAACAAATTTTACCAGCAAGTAAATCAAGTTTTTCTTTCACAGAAATATCCAAATCTATTCCTTTTAATATTTTAACATCTGTTAACACCTAGAAAAGATAGTTTAATGACGAAAGTTTTCAAATTCATTATTACCATCAATAGATTAGAATAAGCCGGAAATTGTTCCATTACATCTGCAATTGAATTTTGATTAATAGTACTTTGTCGATATTCATACGTTTCCAACCACAATTGCTTTAGATTTTCATAATCAAATGAACTATTTTGAAAATCTTCTTTGATTGTTTCGGATTTTGCTGCCATTTGTTCATTATTAGATGATATATTTTCTGCAAGTAATATCTATGAAAAAATACATATATACGTTCTTGAATTTTAACTCGTATGACTCACTTTGTTTACTACATTTCTTTCTGACATTTCAGTAATAGGACGTTGTTTTATTTTTCTTCCTGATGTTTCTCTCGAATATTTAAGTTTCATTTCAACGCGTCGTTCATCATTTGAGTTTTGTCGTTCTCGTTTATATTTCGAAATTAAAGATTCACGCCAAGAATTCTATAATAAAAATATAATATATTAGATGTGAATAATTTTCAAGCTTACTACTTTTTTTGTTTCCAACTCAACATTCAAATGGTTCAATATTCCATTAACAATAATTGTATACTGTGCTCTTGTTGGATAGCTATGAAAGGAATAAAATATAGCAATGAATATCTTAATTACATTGTATAGTATATAATCAAAGAAATTGATTCGAATATTAGTCTATTATATTTAGTTTTACTTTGCTTACAGTCCACTGGTTTTTCTATTTCTCACACAATCATACTCTCTAAACGTTATGGGAAAAATACTCAGTCATTAATAAAAAAACAAAATTATAAAAGTAATTTAAAGTTTTGTAATACTCACAGCAAATTATATTTATTCTTCAAATCATGAAAAACAGCATCGATAATAATCGATCGAAAATTACAGAGTTTTTCAAATTTGTCCATTTGTTTCAAACTAATTCCATCATTTACTTGATTTGGCAACACCGGCAACAAATATTCATCAGGAAATGATAATTCTTTTGGTGTGTCTTGTGTTGTTATTTTTGTTGAAATAACCGACGAGTTTACTGATGATTCAGTTGTATCATTTTCATCTTCATGTTGCTCATCTTCCTTGTCATCGATCACCAGCAACATTGAATCATCTGGAGTTGATAGTGTTATTGGTTTTTCTTGATTTTCGTTTGACAAAAATAACTTTTCTCTTTCATTCAAAAAGATAAGTTGATGTTTGTACGACAAATTGAATGGTTTTAATCGATCAACACTATTCATGTAGAACAATGTCTCACCGTCCACCTGCTGCTCTAAAAGAATAAACAAGGTTAAAATAAAGTTTCAATTTGAATCTTCTCAAGTTGTTAAAAGTTCTTATTGTTAGATATGAGAACGTATAAAAAGACACAAGAAAACATTATTTTATCTACTCAAAACGCTTGTTTTTTTGTTAGTCTTGATGTTAAATTAACAACATGCAGATGATCGACATTATATATATCAAGTCCTTTATGGTAATATATTAGATCATGTGGCGAAATAATATTCAGTCGATTGGATGAGCTAACTTTATAACTCCATAACTTGGTATTGAAACCATCAGTGTTCAAATTGTCTACAATGAATATCCATTGTTGGTCCACTTTAAATATGTGAAGTATCTGGAAGAATAATGGAATCTCCTCCACATATTCAACATCATAAACATAAACGGCATGTTGTTTATATATAATATGATTGTAAATTAATTGAGAACATTGAATAAATGTCTGATCAGATTGAACGAAATCCTGTCCGTATCGTTGATTGAGAAGTAACTTGACTTTTGAATCTATTTCATGCATGTGTATGATTTTGTTCCCACGAGATTCATTAACTATGTTCAAAAATTGGCATTTTGAGAGTAGAAAACATTGACGTAGTTGTTGTCGTTGTGCTAATGTTTTTGGGATATTTTTAAAGTTATAACTTTGAATAGCAAATTTCTTGAAATATAAATGTGCACCCTCGTACCTCATGCACCAATACT